TAACTATAAACCAAATGAAATGTACACATCAGTGTGAGGTGGCTTGATGGTCCTCGAGCAGGGTTTACATTCAGGGTTCTCTTTCTGTTGCTTCACTTGTGGGATTTGTCACAGTCCCATCTGGAGTCAAGGAAAGCACCTTCTCATGGCCTCCAGTTGTCCCCCATCCCAACCTCCATCCTAAACTAACACCCCACTGCCCTCACTCACTGGCTGCCTCACTGAACTTCCGTACCTTTGTTGCCTTTGTTGTCACTGTGTCCTCCACCTGGGACCCTGTTCTCACCTAGGCTTCAGCTTGATCAACTCCCTCATCTCAGATGTCACCATCACAATGGAACCTGCCCTGACCTCTTCTTTAATATTGTGACCATCACTAGCGCGTCCCAGCACCGCTGATACCTGAGGCCGCTCCACCTCCTTTTCCCTCTGCAGCGTGGATCAAACATAGCAGATCATGTAGATTTTGCTGTTTGCCCCACCCCAGCCAACTGTGTTCACAGATGTACTCTGAGGACCTGGGATGGCACCTAGCACCATGAGTGCCTAGCGGGTACTCAGAACCCATTCGTTGAGTGACTGCATGGTCCTGTACATTCAGCGAGGTAGACAGCATCATCCATTTCCTGGATGAGGAAACGGAGGCATGGATGGGTTAAGCAGACCTGAGATCACCCAGTTAGGAATTGATGAGGCAGGTTTTAACCGAGGCACTCTGACACTAACTCCTGTGCTGAGCAAAATGCACAATAAACACAAAGCTTCAAAGAGACAACAGTGCGCAAGGAGGTGTCAGCTCAGGGGAAAGAACTGGTTAGGGCAGTGAGGACTGAACTGATGCTGTGTGCTGGAGGTTTCTGGGCCCTGCATTTTATCTGTTTTACAACTGCAGGGGACAGAACTATAAGCACAAATTACTAACACTTCACAGGTTGTTCCCTGCCTGGTCACAGGGCTGGTAACTCAGGCAGAGGATCTGGACTTCTAGAGCTGTCTGGGCTGTTTGCTAAAGCACCTTAGCCTGACCTGCTTTGGCCGATTCTTGGTTCCTCCCCAGGTCTCTTCTCCAGGCCATGGTGCCTGGCTGCTGCTCCTGAGAACGGAGTATACATGAATCCTGTTAACACTGAGTCCAGTTAAGTCTGAAGGGGGTGGTTCTCACTGGTATCTGCAGCTTCTAGGTAAGATCTCTGGGTGGCCCTGACTGCATCTGGCTGTCATCTGGAGAAACAACCGCTGTTTCACAAAATTAAGCTTCACTCCTTTGCTTTGGTCCATTTCCTGCAAAAGTCACAGAATCCAAGCATATGACAAATGGTGATTCCCAGTAATTCCGCTAGTCAGGAGTAATTATGCATAATTTAGAGGAAGAAACAAAAGGCACTCAAGTCCATGGAATGAGGAAGCAACAGCGCTAAGAAATGTGTTTCCTTAGTTCTTCCACCTCCTTTTCACCTGCTCAGCCAGGTCACTTCCTCTGGGGGAACTGGTATAGTCTGCTTGCCCTTGAAATGATATGAGGGAAATCAGTTATCTGCGGTAGTATGTTCCCTCAGGTAATGGAGAGTTTTTCTGTTTTTTGTTTTTTGTTGTTCTTTGGCTTCTTCTCTGGGAGAGTCCAACTTCAGTGCCAGGCAGATGAAAAAAAAGAAGGGTTGGTGGGAATCAGGCTTGCTCGGGACGCTTTCTCGTAAGCTCCAGAACCTGAAAGATGAAGGATGACCCCAGGAAGACCCTTCTGAGCCTCTGGACTATGTTCAGCATAGATGGTGGCAAATAGCCCTGTCTGAGGGTCCGGAGGCCCCAGTTCTTCTTGCCCCTCACTGCCACTTGCCTTCAGGTCAAAAGTCCCTTAACCTGACCCTCTGCCTCAGCGTGAACAGTTAGGTACACTCTACACTTAAGCGGGCAATGAGCACCCCGACCACGCTCTGGGGGCCGGGGCTGACCGAAGCCCCTCTGCGCACTCCTCAGGGTTGTCCGGATGCTCAGAAGGGAAGAATAACGGGCAGCTGTGAAACTCCGCAAATACGCTTCACCCTAAAAAAGCGAAAGCTGACACCTTTGATGTCCCACAGAGGACGAAGCGGGGAATGGAGTCTTCCTTTCTCCAGCCCTCCTCGCCTCTCCGGCGGCCGCGGGACCGGCGCAGAGAAGGGTTTGGCTGGAAGGAGGGTGGGCCTGCCGGGGCGTGGGATGTGGGCGGTCACACGGGGATCCGGCAATGGAGCGGCTCACGGTGCGCGGCAGTCTTCTCCCTCCGCTCCCCCCTCCCAATTCCAGCCTTCAGCCTCGGCTCCAGGATCGGCCCTTCCAGGCGTCCAGATGCCCTTGGGGATCTGCAGGGGAGAGCAGCGAAGACAGGAGCCCCCAAACCGACCTTCCCACGGCAGGGCGCACCCGCGCGAGCCCTCCCGCCGGACCCGGGTCCTCCGGCCCCCGCCCGCGGCGCTTGGCGCCAGCCC